CCCTCCCCCCCCTTCCACAAGCCATGGATTCACCTGGAAGAAAAATTTGAGAACAGGGGCTGTGGCAGGTGCATGGTTAGATGGTAAGTGGCCTGCTGCCTCCTGGAAAGATCCTTTGTGGGGAAGAGCAACTAGAGGAGTGAGCCTCTGGCAAGCACCTGCTCCTCACTAGCTCAGGTGTGGTCTAGCTGAATGCTGAGACCCTTGTGGCCTTGATAACATGTGACTCAAACAGATGCATAGACACTAGCTGGTGCCTCTGTGACACCCAGAACTCTGGGTATTATTAATAACAAACAGCAGGACCAGCAGGTGGCATGGTGGTTAAGGTGCTGGACACTCCCCCATGGCTGACCACAGTTCAAGTCCTGGACCTGGTGGCTTGCTTTCTCGCTTTCCCTCTCTCTCCATCCTTCTCTCTCTGTGTGTGTCTCTCTCTGGTCAAATTAAAATAAATGAATGAATAAATAAAAAATTGAATAAATAATTCTTTAAAAACATAACAAACAGCAATAAAATATTGCAGCCTTGGCATAGTGGTTGTGTTGCTGGATCCCACACAACCAACCACAGTTCGAGTCCCAGACCTGGTGCTTGAAATGTACATTGGGCATGTGCACCTGCGTGCCCAAGATCCCAGGAGGAGAATGGAGGAGAATGTACTGCAGCATGGCCATCCCTCCTGAGGGGTGATTTCTCATTTCCCTCTCCCTGTCTCTGTCTCTCTCTCCCCAGTGAGCACACGTGCCCTAAAGCAAAAACCTCCAAAAAATAAAAATACATATACACACACACATATGTCTATATATATAGCAGCCTTTTGCAGCTGTTGCTACTGCCTGGGGCTCTCTCTAGTTACAGAACCTGTTTCTTACATCTCTGTATAAAGCCTTTCCAGTGTTATTAAGCTCAGATGCCTCCATTCTGAGATTGGAAAATATACACTGGCTTTGAAGTGAGATCCTGTTGGTTCCTAGCTGGGATCCCCAGCAAGTTACCTAAACTGCTTCCTCATCTTTGAAAGGGGATATATGCCTCCTTCATTTAGGATTGTGAGGATTTGGAAATAGACTAGCTGCACAAAATTTAACACCTATGCCTTTAAACTACTTCAAGTTCCAGAAATATCTCTAGCCCTTGTAAGGGTCAATTCTGATTAAATCCACTCGTTAAATCAGTCCGTATTTACTGCACGTCCCCTATGTGCCACGGTGTGTGGCGTGTGGGTGTTTAATGTGCTCGGGGCCTGTACCCCATGAATATGGGGATTTCCTTTCTCGTACTGCCTGAGTGAGAGGTTAGAGGGAAGGATGGCAGATTCAGTAAGCTTTTAGCACAATGATTTTAATTGCAAAAATAAACAGTTTTGTCAACTGCTTCAGTGTAGCGTCTGCTTTACAAAAATTAACAACAACAAAAAGGAAATAACCCCAAAGCAAAACGTTACATCCAATGGCTGCTGGAAACGACATTGCTGTACAAAGTCGGCGCGAGACCGCCCCGGCGCTCCCCCAGCCTGTCCCTGGGGAGTATAGAGGAAGGCGTGGGGCGTGCGCCAGTTACAAAAGACTGTCTTGAATCCCAAGGAAGTGTCTACTCAGTGGGTAAACTGAGAGGACTTCCTCCAAAGCGGGGTTTACAAGGGAGACAGCGCCCGGACCGCGAGAGCTGTCCATGGAGCTGGTGCTGAACGGAGCGGGTGCGGCGGGCGCTTCAAGGGAACAGAAGGCTGGGGCGTGCGACGAAAAGGTGGGAAGAGAGAGGAAAGGGGAACCGGCAGTAACTTGTGCGCGCCGAGCGGCGGCGCCCCAGCCAACAAACCCATCTCTTGCTTACAGGGCGGAGAAAGAGAGGCCCAGCGAGTAAAAGCCGAGGCCCTTGAGCCTCTCCTCCGCACGCGCCTTCTGCTTGAGGTGCACCTTGCTGTGCCGTTTTTTTTCGTCGCTGCGTGCAAAGCGGCGACCGCACACGTCGCACGCAAAGGGCTTCTCTCCAGTGTGGGTGCGCACGTGCGTGGTGAGGTGGTCGCTGCGGCTGAAGTTGCGGAGGCAGATGCGGCACTGAAAGGGCTTGTGGCCGGTGTGGATGCGCAGGTGGCGGTTGAGCTCGTCGGAGCGCGCAAAGCTGCGCACACAGCTCTCCACTGGGCAAGCGAAGGCCTTGGCGTGCGGCCTCGGGCAGAAGCAGCGCGCGCTGCACTTGCCGCCCCGGCGCCCTTTGCGCCGCACCTTGGCTGGTGGGAAAGGGGCAGGTGGCGGCGGCACTGGTGGCGCAGCCACGCCACTG